AACACTAGCCCTCTGTACGTTCCGGTGGATGGTGAGTGGGTGAGTGGGCCATTCAGCCCTTAAAAAGCGAGTCAGCATCATTGCCGGCTCGCTGTAATCTGGCAGCAGGTGTAACGGCGGCCTGATATCGGAGGAAACACCTGCGATTAAATGTAAGATCCACTGGTTTGCTGAATGTGTGTCGCAATGACAGAAAACCACAAGTTGGTAAAAATAAAAAAGACGTTATTTAATTTCCTTTATTGTGACATATGGTAGTTAAGGGTTTGTGCTTAGGCAGCGGTTTTGGATTCAGCCTATATGTCCTGATTTGTGTGGGGCAGTGCCACATTTTTCACTTCTCCCAGTTGTCCGTCGTTGTCCCACCTTTGTCTGTCCACTGTCCTTTGGCTAATGCCGTCTCTCTGCCCTCTCAGAGCTGGTGCCCACCAAATGGGGTCTGGTGATGGACAGGATTCTGGTTCTGTCCAGGAAGTTCTCCGACATCCTGTCTAAAGTCCAGGGCTTCCTCTGGAGGATCCTGGAGCTCCACATCCTGAAGATGGTGGCTTTCTTCTCTGTGTGGGTTGCACTCCAAGAGGTAAATCTGTGTTAAGCGTCTGAATATGTGTGAGAAGCGAGCTTAGATCATTTCAGCAACAATCTTCATTCTGAAACTGACTGGTTCCTTCATGGAGGGATTTAGAGACAGAACCCTTCAGCATCAGGCGACCTCTAGTGGACACTTAAACAAATACCAGTGTTTACTGTAGACACTGTCTTGGAAACAACAGAAGGGATTGTTGGGTGATGAAAAGTTTGTGAAAGTGTGTTGTTTTAGAGCCACCAGAGCACAGGCCTAACTTTCTGAGGGACTGGTCAGGACATGTCCCCACCAATAATTTCTGCGTTTGTTTCCCTTTCCTCTCATTTCCTTTAGCCAAAGGTAACAAAGTTGGGTGCAGCTGTCTGTGTTCAGAGCGTTTTGAGTTGATGTTTTTTTTCTTCTCTCCCGCTGCTCTCATGTTCGCCTTTCAGTGTAACATAATCGGATCTGTCGCTGTGAGACATCGGATTTGCCGTCGCATTTGTAAAAAGTAGCTATGTGGTCAGAGGAGAGACACAGCAGCACTCAGTGAATATTAACCAGCAGCTACTTTGATGTTTAAGTAAAAGTTAAGAGATGGGTTCGTTAAAAAAAATAGAGATCATGCCACAGAAAAATCAGTTTGTCAGACATACGGAGCTTTTTCAGCTAAAATGGCAACAGATTATAAGTTTATACAAGTTAGTATTATAATGCGAGAAGCTGGAGAGAAAACTGTTTTTTCTTCTTTACTAGTTAAAAAATCTTGGTTTCTCAGATGACCATGACTCCCAGTTACAGGTTAAAATGTTTTCTTATTTTCCACACAGAATCAGCTGGCAGAGCTTCTAAAGATCTTGAAATTTAGTTTCCAGCATTATTATATTAGTAAATAGATTCTTAAATCTTTTTAAACAGAGCAGAGAGAGAAGTAGGGAGAGCTGCAGATTTAAAGGGGAAACGGATTTACTGCGATATGCAACATGCAATAAAATATATCTCCAAGTTTGGCAGAAAGTTTGCAAGAACAAATACGCTATGCTATATTTAAAATGCAGCTTATCCAATTTTTGAAATTGAAATCGTACTTCTAAGAATGCATGATATATCAATTTTATCTTTGGAATCGACTGTTATTCGTTATTTTTTATACATTAATGTTTTTGGGCCCTATATATGTAATGCACTAAAAGGCATCTCTCTAACTATTGATAAATATCAGTGTATTATGGTTCTCTTGTGTTCTCAACAATAGGAAAGCATTCAATAAATATATGTTTGAGCTCATTTTTGGAAAATACAGAAACCTAATGAAAGCGTTCGGGTTGAGTCCATCAGCCAACTTTCATCACAGAGTTACACTCTCGCACCAGAGCGAGGCGGTTTGGGCCAGCTTAGGAGCTATGAAGGAGGCAGGCGTTCAGGGGTCATGTGACCTGGTGGTGGGATGGTCAAACTATTAAATCATTCCAGCCTTGAAGTGTGCAGACATAGATGTTCCAGCTCTGCTTCATGGTATTCCTCTGCTTTCGCCTGAAGCCGTCGGTGATGAATCTGGTCCTGGTTGTGCTGTGGTCCCTGGCGATGCCCTTCGGCCGCTTCAGGCCCATGGCCTCCTGCCTGTCCACAGTCTGGGTCTGCGTCATCATCGTGTGTAAGATGCTGTACCAGCTGAGTGTGGTGGACCCCTCTGAATACGCCCGCGTCTGCACCATGGTAGGACCCCACCCCCCCAGTTCAAACGGGACTTAATGTTTCAGTCAAACTGCTTTGCTTTGTTGAAGCTCTGTGCGTTCTTCCTCTGCAATAGCCTCCGACGAACGAAACCAACTTATCGCCAGAGGAGATGATGAACTCCACCCTGTACCAGCCTATAGATCCAGCCAAGTGGTTCGGCATCAGGAAAGACACGACCGCGCTGGGATACAGCAAGGTAGAGACACTCCCACCTTCTATGTGTCTTTAAAATCATCACAGCTGTGTCCGCTGGGTCCTAAAGAGTGACATTATGCCCAGAACTGGACTGATGATTGACAGTTTATGCATCTGGACTAAAGAGTCTATTTCTAATATATGTTATGTAACTGGTTTTAAAGAACATGCAGAACTGATCTAAGCTGTTTATGTCAGCACAGGACATGATTTATTTTATTGGGAAAAAATGAAACTGGTAGTTGGTTCCACAGGAGAGGAGCCTGATAACTAAAAGATCTGCCTCCCATTCTACTTT